GGAGCGGCCACTGCACTCCAGTCTAGGCGACAGAGTGAGACTCCAACTCAAAAAAAAAAAAGAGGCTGGGCACAGTAACTCACGCCTGTGACCCCAGCATTCTCGGAGGCTGAGGCAGGAGAATTACTTGAGCCCAGGAGTGTAAGACCAGGCTAGGCAACACAGGGAGACCTGCTCTCTACAGAAATCAACAAAGAATTAACCAGGCATGGTGGCACACACCTGAAGTCACAGCTACTTGTGAGACTGAGGCAGAATCACCTGAGCCTAGAGGTCAAGGCCGCAGTGAGCCATAATCATGCCACTTCACTGCAGCCTGGGTAATAGAGTGAGACCCCCACTCAAAAAAAAAATTGTTATAAGACATCCATAAAAAGCTTTCAAACTCTTTAATGAAACGAGATCACATAAACCTGAAATAATTTAATAAAACACAAAAGTCACAGATCAAACTCACTTTGAGATCAATTCTGCATTCCACACAAATACTGCCAAACAGTCAAAAGAGCCCATTAAAAAAAAAAAAAAAATATATATATATATATATATATATATGCGCCAGGTGTGGTAGCCTGTAATCCCAGCACTTTGGGAGGTAGAGGTGGGAGGATTGCCTGAGTCTAGGGGTTCCAGACCAGCCTAGGCAACTTGACAAGACCTCATCTCTACAATAAATCAAAAAATTAGTCAGGTGTGGTGGCATGTGCCTTTAGTTTTAGCTACTCGGAAGGCTAAGGCAGAAGGATCGCCTAAGCCCAGCAGGTCAAGGCTGCAGTGGACGAGAGCATGCCACTGCATTCCAGCTTGGAGGGCAGAGTGAGACTCCTACTGAAAAAAAAAACTCCATTATAGAGTTGAGTATTTCAACACTCAAGAATGATACACTATTTAAAAATGTGGAAATGTAGCCAGGCACGGTGGCTCATGCCTGTAATCCCAGCAGTTTGGGAGGTCAAGGTGAGAGGATTGCGTGAGCCCATGGGTTCGAGACCAGCCTGGGCAACTTGGCAAGACCCCGTTTCTACAATAAATCAAAAAAAAAGCCAGGTGTGGCAGCATGTGCCTGTAGTTACAGCTACTCAGAAGGCTGAGGTGGAAGAGTTGCCTGAGCTCAGCAGGTTGTGGCTATGGTGGCCGTGAGTATGCCACCGCACCCTAGCCTGGGCAACACAGTGAGACTCCAATTCAAAACAAAACAAAACAAAAAGGTGCAAAATTATTTTTTAATACTTCCAAGAAAGAAAAATGCTATCAATTATAGTTCTAAGATATCAGTGACTGTAAGATGCAACCTGAGTGAGGTCAGGCAAAGTGGCTCAAGCCTGTAATCCCAGCACTTTGGGAGGCAGAAGCAAGAGGACTGCCCGAGTTCAGAAGTTTGACATCAGCCTGAGCAACATGGCGAGACCTGGTTTCTACAATAAATTAAAAAATTAACCAGATGTTGTGGTGCTGCCTGTGGTTTCACCTACTTGGAAGGCTGAGGCGGGGAAGGATCACCTGAGCCCAGCAGGTCAAGGCTGCAGTGGCAGTGAGCATGCCACTGGCACTCCAGCCCGGGTGACAGAGTGAGACTTCAACTCAAAAAAAAAAAAAAGAATTTTTATCAATTAAATTAAAAAGTTATTCAAGAGAACACAACATGAAGGGAAAAATATTTTTAGAAAAATAATCTTGAATTGAGAATTACCTTCATACTTACATGAAGAAAGCCAATGTGGAAAACACACCACATGTGTGAAAGGCATGGTTTAACTGTTCTGGCTTAGGATACACCACGGCCGCATCAATCATTATCCACCAGCCTGTAAAAAACTTAAAACACAGCCCGAGTCATCAAAACACTAAAACTCTTGTTAGCACAATACTTGCTCCTTAACCTTCCTTTTGTGCTATAGATAGAATAAGACATAAGATATTTCTTCACTTAGTTTGGATGTTGAAATATAAAAAAATAAGAATCCCTTGCTCACTTACTATTTATAGCAGATGAGGTGAACACAGCTAGCCAAATCCATATAAAATTCTGAAGTTCTGCTCTAGTGTACATTGAACAATTTATTACTTGGGTCTTGATTATCTACTTCTTTCATCCACAATTATCAGATGCAGAAGCAATTCTCTTAGTTTATCTCCAATATAACTACCTCCTTGATTACCTGGTATGTTTCCTTCTCTCTAGAGAACATTCCTTTTTATTAACATGCCCAAACACTTTTGTTCCCACAAATGAGCTGTATGCTTACCAAGAGTCAGATGTCATGTCTCCTAAACTATTTAAGCCTGTTATCGTTTTAATTATATAATTGAATGACCTATTGTATAACTGGCTGAACATGTGTTTGTAAAATGTAATGTTTCTATGTAAATTAAGTTGAACAGACTTAAAATAGACAAGTTGGCTAACAATTTTTTTTTATTAAGTTTTAAAACAAAGTTTATTAGAGAAAGAAGAAGGGAAAGGAAGGGCAGCCAGAAGTTTCATACCAGAAAGGCCTGGCACTGGCAAACCACTCTCTGGAAAAAGACTGCCTGCTAACAACTTTCATAGACAAATAAATTCAGGTGAGAGAACCATAAAGGGCAAGAAAAACTTATAAAATCTAAAAGATCCTGCATTCAGACTGCTTCACAATTATAATATGTTCCTATTCTGCTTTATTTCATTTAGCTTGGTTTTTCTTCTGGATTTCAGGTGCTGAACTGTACACTGAAAGAGATACATTTTTTTTTTCTTTTTTTTTTTGAGTTGGAGTCTCATTCCATCGCCCAGGTTGGAAGGCAGTGGCATGCTCTCAGCCACCTCAGCCTCGACCTGCTGGGCTCAGGTGATCCTTCCGCCTCAGCCTTCAAGTAGTAGGAACTACAGGAGTGTGCTACCATGCCCAGCTAATTTTTTTTTTTTTTTTATTGTAGAGAAGAGGTCTCACCATGTTGCCCAGGCTGGTCTCGAACCCATGGGCTCAGACAATCCTCTTGCCTCGGCCTCCAAAAATGCTGGGATTATAGGCTTGAGCCACTGCGTCTGGCCAAGATAAATGTTTTAAATGTAATTCTGAAATTTGTTTTTAAAAAATGCAGTGGGAGTTGGGAGCAGTACACCACAGACCTGTAATCCCAGCCACTCAGGAGGCTGAAGCGGAAGGACTGCAGTATGCTATGATCATGCTAGTGGTCACTGCATTTCAGCTAGGGCAACACAGTGAGACCCCATCTCTTTAAAAAATTGTAGCAGGTACAGAGAGTGGTTGATGGAATGATAAGGTAAGATAGGTCTCCTGATTTTTTTTTTTGGAAGTTGAATGACAGGTTCATGGGTGAGCAGGGAGGGGGACCTTTACACTCCTCTCTCTACTTTTGTTTATATGCTTATCATTTTCAATTTAAAAAAAAAGTTTTTTAAAATGAGGAAAATAATATTAAGCAATAGTTTCTTCCACAAATGTTTTCCTCCTTTGTCCCTCCAGTGCTGCAGTTGGGGAAACAGAGAAGGTATCTCTTCCCTAGAGCAGCTGCAGGGCTTCAGGTCTAGTGCAGCCTAAAGTTGTTACTGCTGCCTGCATATCCTGACCCTCAATGAGTCACAACAATAATTTCTGGTTATATCAAACTCTGAGCCTTTGAAGATCTTAAGGTACTTACCTACATTGTATCATGAAGTTAAAAATGTTGCTGCCAGCCTGGTTTGGTGGCTCAGCCTGTAATCCCAGCACTTTGGGAGGCTGAGGTGAGTGGATTGCCTGAGCCCGCGGGTTTGAGACCTGCCTGGGCAAATTGTCGAGACCTCATCTTTACAATAAATTAAAAAAATTAGCCAGGCATGGTAGCGCGCGCCTGTAGGTCCAGCTACTTGGAAGGCTGAGGCAGAAGGATTGCCGGAGCCCAGCAGGTTGAGGCTGCGGTGGCGGAAGCAGCCACTGCACTCCAGTCTGGGCAACAGAGCGAGACTCCAACTCAAAAAAAAACAAAAAACAAACGTTGCTGCCTATAATAACCATATTATCACTAGAACTGGAAAAAAAATATGAAGGACAAATATACAAAGTCAAGAGAATCCAGAGTCCACCACATTGTTTAATAATATTATCTAAAACTCTGATAATTATCTATACAAAACAGCAGTGAAGTAAATGGTTCTGGAAGGATATTCAGAGTTCAAAGGAATCAACATGGACTTCCAGGGCAAAGATAAGGCACAAATGTCACCAACTAGGCCTTCTCACTTACCAGTATACCTGCTACCACAGATGCCACAGCATTTCTTCTCTCACTCCAGTCAATACATTCACATTCTGGCCAACGAAAATTATCCAGGAAGCCAGCCATTTTTATTCTTCAAGCATGGATCTGTCATTAAACACTGTGTCCTACAAATAAAAAGACAAAAATGAATCAACCTAGGCCAGGCACAGTGACTCAAGCAGTAATCCCAGCACTTTGGGAGGCCAAGGTGAGAGGACTGCCTAAGTCCAGGGGTCCGAGACCAGCCTGGGCAACTTGGTGAGACCTCATCTCTACAATAAATTAAAAACAATTAGCCAGGCGTAGTGGTATGTGCTTGTAGTTCCAGCTACTTGGAAGGGTGAGGCAGAAGGATTGCCTGAGCCGAGCAGGTCGAGGTTTTGGTGGCTGTGAGCATGCCACTGCAGTCCAGTCTGGGTGATAGAGTGAGATTCCAACTCAAAAAAAAAAAGAAACAAACAAATGAACCGACTTAAGGAAGTGTTTTTAAGAAATGAAATATCTTACTACTTTCTTCAAGTTTTAAACACAAATTTACTTTAAGTCTTATTCTACCATAGTTAAGAAGAAAAAATCAGACCAGACTAGGTGGCTCAGTCTGTAATCCCAGCACTTTGGGAGCCCGTGGGTTTGAGACCCACCTGGGCAACCTGGCGAGACCTCGTCTCTACAATAAATCAAAAATTAGCTGGGTGTGGTAGCGCACACCTGTAGTTCCAGTTACTTGGAAGGCTGAGGTAGAAGGATTGCCAGAGCCCAGCAGGTTGAGGTTGTGGTGGCTGGGAGCATGTCACTGCACTCCAGTTTGGGCAACAGAGTGAAACTCCAACTCAAAAAAAACAAAAAAGGGCTGGGCTTGGTGGCTCAGCCTGTAATCCCAGCACTTTGGGAGGCCGAGGTGAGTGGATTGCCTGAGCCCGCAGGTTCGAGACCCTCCTGGGCAACTTGACGAGACCTCATCTCTACAATAAATAAAAAAAAAAATTAGCCGGGCGTGGTAGCGCATGCCTGTAGTTCCAGCTACTTGGAAGGCTGAGACAGAAGAATCACCTGAGCCCAGGAGGTCAAGTCTACAGTGAGTTGTTTATGCCACCACTGCACTCCAGCCTGGGTGACAAGTGAGACCACGACTCAAAAAAAAAAAAAAAAATACACACACACACACACACACACACACACACACACACACACACATATATATATAAAACACTCTTCAGATGAAGATAACTGAATCCAGAGTTTTATATTAGTCACAATGTCCAATATATACTAGAAAAATTACTAGGCATGCAAAGAAGCATGAATAAAAAGTTATCTGGTTTTTTAAATTTTTTTTTTTTTGAGTAGGAGTCTTACTCTATCACCCAGGCAGCAGGCTGGAGTTCAGTGGCACTCATGGCCACCACAGTCTCAGCCCACTGGGCTCAGGTGATTCTTCCGCCTTAGCTTCCAAGTAGCTGAAAACACAGGCATGCACCACCATGCCCAGCTAATTTATTTATTTATTTATTTATTTATTTTTATAGTAGAGATGAATTGTTGCCCAGGCTGGTCTCAAACTCATGGGCTCAGGCAATCCTCTCACCTCGGCCTCCCAAAGTGCTGGGACGAGCCTTGGCAACTTGGCAATACCTCATCCCTACAATAAATCAAAAAGATACACCAGGCATGGTGGTGCATGCCTGTGCTTCCAGCTACTTGGAAGATTGAGGTGGAAGGATCACATGAGCCCAGCAGGTAGAGGCTGCGGTGGCCATGAGTATGCCACTGCACTCCAGCCTGGGCAACAGAATGAGACTCCTATTCAAAAAAAAAGCAGGGCTTGGTGGCTCAGCACTTTGGGAGGCTAACACGAATGGACTGCCTAAGCCCACGGATTCAAGACCAGCCCCGGCAACTTGGCAAGACCTCGTCTCTACAATAAATCAAAAAAAGTAGCTGGGCGCAGTAGCACAGGCCCTTAGTTCCAGCTACTTGTAAGGCTGAGGTAGAAGGATCGCCAGAGCCCAGCAGGTCAACAGTGGAGTGGCCGTGAGTATGCCATTACACTCCAGCCTGGGCAACAAAGTGAGACTCCAACTCAAAAAAAAAAAAAAAAAAAAGAATAATCAATAGAAACGGACTCCAAAATGACTCAGATATTGAAATTAGCAGACAAGAACTCTAAAGCAGCCATTATAAAATCACATTCAAGGACTTAAAGGAAAACAGGGTCAAAATAACTCAACCAATGGAGATTCTCAATAAACAAAAGGAAATTATTTTTTTTTTAAAATCAGGCAGAAAGATCACTTGAGGTGGGAGGATCATTTGAAGCCAGGACTTCAAGACCAGCCAGGACAAATAGTGAGATACTATTTTTAAAAATAAACAAACAAGCCAGGCTCGGTGGCTCAGCCTGTAATCCCGCACCTTTGGGAGGCTGAGGTGAGTGGACTGCCTGAGCCCGCGGGTTGAGACCCGCCTGGGCAACTTGGTGAGACCTCATCTCTACATTAAAATCAAAAATTAGCTGGGCATGGTAGCGTGCACCTGTAGTTCCAGCTACTTGGAAGACTGAGGCAGAAGGATCCCCAGAGCCCAGCAGGTCGAGGTTGTGGTGGCCGGGAGCAGCCACTGCACTTCAATCTGGGTGACAGAGTGAGACTCTAACTCAAAAAAAAAAAAACAGAATGTGTATAACAATTTTATTCATAATAGCTCAAAACTAAAACAACCTAAATGTCCATCAATAGAATGATAAAACAAATTATATCTATTCATATAATGGATACTACTCAGCAATAGAAAGAATGAACTGATACATATAACCACATGTAAAAAAAAAACTCAAGGGCAGTCAGGCACAGTTGTTCACGCCTGTAATCCCAGCACTTTGGGAGGTGGAGATGAGAGGATTGCCAGAGCTCAGGGGTTTGAGATATTGCCTGAGCAATATGCCAAAACCTCATCTTTATAATAAATCAAAAAATTAGCCAGGCGTGGTGGTGCCTGTAGTACCAACTATTTGGAAGGCTGAGGCAGAAGGATCACCTGAGCCCAGCAAGTGGAGGCTGTGCTGGCTGTGAGCATGCCATTGCACTCCAGCCTGGGCATAGAGGGAGACTCCAACTCAAAAAAAAAAAAAATCTCAAAAAACATGATTTGAGTAAAAGAAGGTAGAAAAAGTATGTTTAAATGAAGCTTAAGAAGAGGTAAAACTAACCAATGGTACAACAATCAAAACAGCAGCTACCTCTAGAGAGAGGGAACTTTTGGGGTAGCAGAAATGTTCTCTATCTTGACTGGGATAGTGGTTATGCAGGTGTATGCATGTGTATCAAGTCACTGAAGTGTGCACCTACTCATAAGATCTGTGTGTTTTACAGCATGTTTAATTTACAAAAATAAGTTTCAAATATGCTATCAAAGTAAGCTTTAGTTGCACTACAGTCTTATTCTGAATGCAGTATAAATATATTTTATCAAGATATTCTACAGACAGGTTAATAAATTGTTATGAAAGATTAAATATTAACTGGTTTAAAACAAGTACAGGAAAGGTCACCATGAATTTAAGACAACGCCTGAAGGTTAAAACAAAATGAAATTAATTTTCCATATAAAATGCATTATAAAATTCATTTCCCATGTATTAACCAGTTACAAATAGTACTATTCATAGTTAAGATATAGCTATTTCCACAAATTGACTTATGAAATAAATCAATGGTCTACTCCCTCCTGGGACTTAAGTTGGATTGGTCAGGGACAGGCTGGGGTATCAAACATCAAACAAATCTATACCAATACATCAAAACAAAATTAAACATCAAAATAAATTTACCCAAATAATGGCTATGAAGAAGATGCACAGGATTCGAATAGAGAATAAAGGAGAAGTCTATTTTAATGCGTGGTCAGGGAAAGCCCCTATGAAGAGGTAAAACTTGCTAAAATGTAAAAACCTACCAAAATTTAAAAGCTGACTAAAGTTAATTAGATAAAAGAGATGTGAAAAGAGGTAGAGAGACCGGGCTCGGTGGCTCAGTCTGTAATCACAGCACTTTGGGAGGCCGAGGTGAGTGGATTGCCTGAGCCCACGGGTTCGTGACCTGCCTGGGCAACTTGGCGAGGCCTTGTCTCTAAAATAAATAAATAAATAATTAGCCGGGCGTAGCAGCGTGCACCTGTAGTTCCAGCTACTTGGAAGGCTGAGGCGGAAGGATCGCCAGAGCCCAGCAGGTCGAGGCTGTGGTGGCCGGGAGCGTGCCACTGCACTCCAGTCTGGGCGACAGAGTGAGACTCCAGCTCAAAAAAAAAAAAGAGGTAGAGCAGGGAGAGGGAAAAATACACATGAAGCCTCTAAAGTCCCTTTGGTGCCAACAAAGAATTAGCTGTTACTAAAGAGAATGATGATAAAGCAAGATAGTAGAGCAAGTGGCTTGGAATAAAGTCGGTGAAAGACAGTTAAAGGCCAGATCTCCTTAAGGATTAAAGTTAACCTCATTAATAAGGATTTAGAGTTTCACTGGGTTGTAAGGGAAAAACCAACTAAAGAACTTGAAGGAGAAAAGGGGCCAAGACACCAAGAACCCAGTTACCATGGTAAACATTTAGCAGGGGAAAGGGCTGCTATACTCAGGACTAACACTTTCAGTTAGGAAGATCAACTTTCATGAAGGTTTCATCATAGATATTTACCAAAGGATAAGCTTACTTTATCATGACACAGTCTTGATTTAATAGAAACTAACCGTCTCTGTCTTAAATATTTATTTATTTATTTATTATTTTTTAAAGATGTGGGGTACAATTCAGGATTAGGCACATAGGTGTATAATATTTAATGTAATATAATCAGCCTTTGGAGACTTAATAATGACAAAGAGTACTTAGATAAAATCTGAATATCCAATAACAGAACAAATGTTTAAGTAAAATAGATTACTTGAAGCACACATTAAAAATCTATTTCTGAGTTGGGTTCTGTGGCTCAGCCTGTAATCCCGCGCTTTTGGGAGGCTGAGGTGAGTGGATTGCCTGAGCCCGCGGGTTCGAGACCCGCCTGGGCAGCGAGACCTCATCTCAACAATAAATCAAAAAATCAGCCGGGCGTGGTAGCACATGCCTGTAATTCCGGCTA